GGCGAGAAAGAAGAGAATTGCAGAAGAGAAGAGGGAGGGATCGTCACGGGCCACTGTGCGTGCTGGGTGCAGCCCACCGTAAACGAAAGAAAGGGGAGAAGAGCCAAATCGTGGACAGATTAATGGAGGTGGCAGCTACAAGGGCTGGAGGCGACTGTGACTCTTATTATTTATTTTAATAAATTATTTAAAAAATATATAAAGTTACCGGTGTTGTTATTGTTCGTCACTGTCTCCTATTTTAATCCTGACGGGATACTATCATCATTAGTATGAGGCGTTTTGAGAAGTCTAAAAACAACGCCACGAGAACTTATCCTCAAAGTGGACAATATCATATCATTGTGGAGAACCGTGATTCCTAACATAGTATCAGAGTCATACCCTAAACTTAGCCGTGACAATAAAATCCTCAAATATCAAACAAAGAATTGTGAGTCTCGAAGATGTAAGTCAAAAGTCACTAAAGTGTCGAATAAAGGGTGTACTTTGTTCGAGGGCTCTAGAGAAAGGAATCGGGTCTTGATTAAGGGGAAGCTATTCAAGAACTCCATAAGTCTCAGGGGTGGCTTATAGTGTACTTTGTTCAAGGGGAGGATTGTTGAGGATTATTGGGAGTGCGAGTCCCACATTGGTTAATTTAGTGGAAGATCATGGGTTTCTAAGCGAGAAATACTATCATCATTTGATATGAGACCTTTTGAGAAGCCAAAAAACAAAACCATGAGAGCTATACTAAAGTAGACAATTATTTTTTATATATACATATACATATATAATACATATCGCTTTCGCTACCTCCTCATCTATTGAATGAGACGTTGCTGAACCATAATTCAGGATGAACCGAGTGTAACAGGTCTTAAAATAATGGTATATTTGATAAGCGGAAGGAGTATTATATTAACTAATTGGATTTATAAGTAAGGAATACATCTTCATTGGTACGAGCTCAAAATCATCAGAGTTTATGTTCAAAGTGGAGGTTCGTGAGTTCTAACATGATATCAAAACTAGCTTTTCGAGAAACCATGTTCTTGAGCATTTTCTTGATATCAACACATTGGGTCGACATCATACCAACAATTATTCTAAACATACTATACATTATTGTAAAACATCGTCTATACATCCTCGAATTCTCACAAACCCAGATTGTCAGATTGTTCAGTAACAAGTCAGGAACAAATTCATCTACCCAATTTGTTCAGTAATAAGGTCAATCAAAATGTAGGTTGGGGTTGAGAATCTGGGGGCCAACGAGGTTGGGGCCTGATTTTCCAGCAATGATCGGTCAAGGTCAATCAAAATGAGGAAAAACAGATGATTCTCTAGAAGGATTTAACATCGATTGATCATTGACTCAATATCTATTATCTTGCCACTGAACATTACAACATGTCTCCTGAAAGGTCAACAAAGGGCACCTCCCTACACACTAAACTGAAAAATCGGACCCCTGAACCAACAAAGCATTCCATTGAATGAAGCCCACTTCCTTCCGGTAAAGCAACTTTCGGGATGGAACTCTTGCTCACAGGCTCCCTGAAACCAAGAGAGGAGACAGAAGATGCATAAGATGCAGAGGATACTATGGATGAAGAGTGAGCCTCTCTCCTATGTCTAGGAGTAGAGAAGAGGGCACGACTGATAAAGCATTTCTTTCAACCGATTCAATTTAGGTTCAGAAAAATGAACCCAACCCTATCCGGAATGCTAATCCAACCCAACCCAACTCTTATCGTTTAGGTTGGATTGGTCCGGGGTGTCGTGTTAATGTACACATAGAAAATCAAAATATTGAATGAACAACAAAACTTTGGGGCCACGTGAAACCATTGACACAACGTATAAGAATTTGGTACACATATTCAGATCACCGGCGCTCCATTTTCATTGACCCTTTCCTGTTATCCATTTCATGTGGTCTATGGCAAATCCTCCATTTTCTCTCTCTAAATCCCTCTCTCTCTCTCCTCCCCTGCTTCTTCTCTCACTGTCATTCACCTCCTCCATTCCCCTTCCACTTCCACCTCCCAATGGCCGTCAATTCCACTAACCTCACTTCCCATTTTGCCCTCCCTTTCCGCCGGACCCACCCGATCTCCTCCCCATGCACCGCCGCCCTTCCCATTCTCAAACCCGGCCTTCGTCGTTCCCTTTTCGCCTCTCCTCCTTCCGGTCCCCGGAAAATCTTGTGCAAAGCGTCGGAGGTCTCGGTGGCTGAGGAATCGTCGGCGTCTGGTAACTGGGTGCCCGTGGTTCCGTTGTCGGCGCTGCCGAAAGGGGAGCGGCGCGTGATTATTCAGGGTGGGGAGACGGTTTTGCTGCTTTGGTATAAGGAGAAGATTTTTGCTATTGAGAATCGGTCCCCTGCTGAAGGTGCTTACACTGAAGGTCTCCTTAATGCCAAACTCACTAAGGTTAATTTCATTTCCTCTGTTTCTTCTTTTCTTGTGACTGTCAGAATTGTAGAATTATCTGAATTCTGCCGTTGTTTCATATGATTCATAGAGAATAACTGTGATGATTTCCGAATTGGGGAGGACATATTTTCCTGATTTAGAGAAGATTAGGTTCGTTATTGCATCAAAGACGGTTAGGAATCACGAATCTCCACGATAGTATGATATTGTCCACTTTGAGTATAAGTTCTCACGGCTTTGTTTTTGGTTTCCCCATAAGGCTTCGTACCAATGGAGATGTATTACTTACTTATAAACCTAGGATCGTTTTCTTAATTAGTTAATGTGGGACTCCCTCACAACCATACTCCTCTTGAACAAAGTATACCATAGAGCTTTCCTTGAGGCCTATGGAGTCCTCGAATAGTCTCCCCTTAATTGAGGCTCGACTCCTTTCTCTGGAGCACTCGAACAAAGTACACCATTTGTTCGACACTTGAGTCACTTTTGACTACACTTTCGAGTGTCCCAATTTCTTTGTTCGGTATTTGAGGATTCTGTTGACATGGCTAAGTTAAGGGCATGACTCTCATACCATGTTAGGAATCACGAATCTTCATAATTGTATGATATTGTCCACTTTGAGCATAAGCTCTCATGGCTTTACTTTTGGTTTCCCCAAAAGGCCTTATACGAAGGGAGATGTATTCCCTACTTATAAATCCATGATCATTCCCTTAATTAGCCAATGTGGGAGCCCTCGAACGAAGTACACTATTTATTCGACACTTGAGTCACTTTTGACTACACTTTCGAGGGTCCCAATTTCTTTGTTTGACATTTGAAGATTCTATTGGCATAGCTAAGTTAAGGGCATGACTACGATGTCATGTTAGGAATCACGAATCTCCACAATGATATGATATTGTCCACTTTGAGCATAAGCTCTCATGGCTTTGCGTTTGGTTTTCCCAAAGGGCCTCATACTAATGGAGATGTATTCCTTACTTCAAAAAGGGCCTCATACTAATGGAGATGTATTCCTTATTTATAAACCCATGATCATTCCATTAATTAGCCGATCATTCCCTTAATTAACCAATATGGAACTCCCTTCTAACCATCCTCAATATGGACAATAGATTCCTTTTCTTCTTTTACAATGGTACGATAGAGTCAATTGGATCAAGCTCGATTTCACCTAAACACCAAATAGAATGGAAATGTTCAACTCCTTACGGCTGGATAGATAAAACTTTGGTTCTTACTCATTCAAATTGACTGTTGGGCTTCAATGTTCTTCATATTTATCAGCATTTCAGTTTTTGAAACTAGAATAAGTTCTAATGCTTGCAATGTAGAACACTTCATTGAATGATCATACCCTTTCTCTACTCAGGATGGCTGTATTGTCTGTCCAACGACAGATAGCACATTTGACCTCCAAACTGGAGACATCAAGGAATGGTATCCAAACAATCCTGTCCTCAGAGTCCTCACACCAGCCTTAAGGAAGCTTTTTGTATACCCTGTAAAAACTGATGAAAACAACATCTATATCAACATGAGAGGAAACGTGATATCAGATTCATCTGCTGAGATTGTCTTCAGTGGGAAAGCTCAACCCGGTGTAACTGCTACCGATGTCAATGTCGATGAGGTAACTATGGAATTGTTTAGTCGAACGTATTCTGTTTTTTTGTCGATAGTTTTCTTCGGTTCTTGAACTTCTACTTTGTGTTATGTCCATGTCGACGAGGTAACTATGGAATGGTTTAGTTGAACGTATTCTGTTTTTTTGCTGATAGTTTTCTTTAGTTCTTGAACTTCTACTTTGTGTTATGTCTATGTTACCGTCGAACATATTCTATTATTTTGCCGATAGTTTTCTTCAGTCCTTGAACTTCTCCTTTGTGTTATGTCCATGTCGACGAGGTAACTATGGAATGATTTAGTCGAACATATTCTGTTTTTTTGCGGATAGTTTTCTTCAGTTCTTGAACTTCTACCTTGTGTTATGTTCATGTCGACGAGGCAACTATGGAATTGTTTAGTCGAACGTATTCTATTTTTTTGCCAATAGTTTTCTTCCGTTCTTGAACTTCTACCTTGTGTTATATTGATCGACAAGGTAACTATGGAATTGTTGAGTTTGTTTAGTCGAACGTATTTTGTTTTTTTTTTGCCAATAGTTTTCTTCCGTTCTTGAACTTCTACCCTTGTGTTATGTTCATGTCGACGAGGTAACTATGGAATGGTTTAGTCGAACGTATTCTGTTTTTTTGCGGATAGTTTTCTTCTGTTCTTGAACTTCTACCCTTGTGTTATGTTGAAGGTGAAAATGGTGGTTGATGAAGAACTTGAAGGGTTTGGCTTCACTGGAAAGAATGAAGTAATAAATGGAAAGGCAGCAGTGATTGGGTTCTTGTTGTTGTTGGATTTTGAGCTCTTAACTGGGAAGGGTCTTCTCAAGGGAACTGGATTCTTGGACTTCATTTATTCTGCTTCAGATGCTTTCAAATAGATGTAAGTTCATATTCTCTTCTGCCTTGGGAAATGATATCATATCTGTTCTTGTATACTATATACAATAGCAACAAAATAGATGCTTTTTTTGAACCAAAAAATTGTGCCCATCTTTTATTGAAGTTTACAGATGAACTCGACTCAGAAAACGTACTGTTTATTCAACTGATAATCAGATCAAAACATTCATTAACAACATTCTATAGGAAAACTTGTGATTTCATTCCAGCTTCTGGGCCTGTAGGCTTTGTGGTGAGTTAGGGGCAAGTAGTAGTCGTCTAGGCGACGCTCCCTCCAAAACCAGCCTCCCGCTCCCGCTCCCGCTCCCACTGGCTTCATATACGGGCATTCCCGTCCCGACTAGGGATGTCTTCCTCGAACCGTTACTCGAAAGTAGCAACCTGAACGTCCAGTTCAGGATGTTGGGTGCAAACATCCTGTATAGCAGGAAGATGTCATACCAGCTTGGATACTTCACGTATATATTTCCTCGACACGCCCCCGACACAATCAGCTTTGCAAACTCCTCAACCGGGCCTCCGGTTACATGCACCTGAAACACAAAAACGAACCATTCATTCATTTCATTTGAAGACTGGCCAAACCAAAGATCTGTTTAGTTTAGTTTAGTTTAGTTTACCTCTCTTTCTTCCTTTCGTTGCATTTCTGCACCATCTTCCACCATGAACTTGCCTCTGGTCATTTGACTTCCAATCCAACCATGTGTGGCAATTGTTATCCCAACATCATCTTTCACTTCAAATCTCAATGTCTCATAGAAATTCACCAGTGCTGCCTTGGAAGCCTGTTATAATTGAAAAATCGAGTCAGTTTTCTGTTGATTGAGATATGCCATTAGTGAAGAACTGTAGACTTACAGAGTACAAACTCATCCGTGGCAGAGGTAACCAGGTCTCGACCGATGCGTTAACAATGACTCGACCATTGCTTTGATGAAGATACGGTAGAGCCACCAAAGTTGGATAGACATTTCCCCAAAAGTTGATATCCTGCACTATGAGATACCATCATTAGCCATAGAAACATCTCGTGTTCTTCACTCCCCGCTTTCATTTATGGGATTTTTGTTAAGAACCACGACTCTCCACCATGGTATGATATTGTCCATTTGAGCATAAACTCTCAGGACTTTGCTTTTGGTTTCCCCAAAAGATCTCATACCAATGAAGATAGTATACTTTACTTATAAACTCATGATCATCCTCTTAATTAGTCGTTGTGGCACCCCACCAACAATCCTCCCCTGGAACAAAGTATACCATAGAACCTCTCTTGAGGCCTATGGAGCTCTCGAACAGTCTCCCCTGAGGCTTGACTCCTTTCTCTGGAGCCCTCGAGCAAAGTACACCCTTTGTTCAACACTTGAGTCATTGAGGTTCACAACTTCTTTGTTCGACATTTGAGGATTTTATTGACCTAACTAAGTTAAGGGCATGACTCTAACACCATGTCAAGAATAACGACTCTCCACAAGATTGTATGATATTGTCCACTTTGAGCATAAGCTCTCTTAGTTTTTTTGGGCTTCCCCAAAAGACCTCGTACCAACGTAGATGTATTTCTTACTTATAAACCCATTATCGACTCTCTCCCAACAATCCTCGAAAAGTTCTTACCATCAAATGGGGAAATATTGATGTATCAGTAACTTCCTCAAAGTAGAATGTATGTCCCAAACTAGCCGTGTTTACAAGATGATCCACTGCACAAGAACAAGAGTTGCATAAAATAACTGTAAATCCAGTTCTTCAAAAGAAAGGGAGATCGGAAAGAAACCTCGTCCGAAGATATTAACAGTTTCAGAGACGAATCTTCGACAGTCATCTTCTTTAACAACATCAGCCGCCATGATCAAAACTCGTTTAGCTCCCATTGCCCTCGCATTCTCACTTATGATTCTTAGCCTGTTCTCCCTCCTCGCCACCAGCATCAGATTCGCCTTCCTTTTCGCATACTCATAAGCTATTTGCTGCAGTTTAAACATTTTGGTTCATAATTCTACAGCTACCAATTTACTTAACAAAAGAAGTTGAAATAGCTCAGTTGATTAGAGCGTGTGGCTGTTAACCAAAAGATCGGAGGTTCGACCCCTCCTAATAGTTAGTTAGAGCGTGTTGCTGTTAACCACAAGGTCGGAGGTTCAACCCCTCCTAATAGTTGGTTAGAGCGTGTGGCTGTTAACCACAAGGTTCGGAGGTTCAACCCCTCCTTCTAATAGCTCGGTTGGTTAGAGCGTGTGGCTGTTAACCACAAGGTCGGAGGCTCAACCCCTCCTTCTAATAGCTCAGTTGGATAGAGCGTGTGGCTGTTAACCACAAGGTCCGAGGCTCAACCCCTCCTTCTAATAGCTCAGTTGAATAGAGTGTGTGGCTGTTAACCACGAGGTTGGGAGGTTCAACCCCTCCTTCTAATAGCTTAGTTGGATAGAGCTTGTGGCTATTAAGCACAAGGTTTGGAGGTTCAACCCCGCCTTCTAATAGCTCAGTTGGTTAGAGCGTGTGGCTGTTAACCATAAGGTCGAAGGTTCAACCCCTCCTTCTTCTGAGGTTCAACCCGGCTTATGTTTATGTATCATCGATCAAGAAGTTAAAAGGCTTGAGCGAACTACCTCTCCAATGCCGGAGGAAGCGCCGGTGATAATGACGACTTTATCTTCCATACTCTCAATATTGAAGGAATTGTAAATCCACTCACAGGCGTTGATGAAGGACAATGCCGGCCATGAGAACGCCAGAATCACCAAACTCGCCGGCGGCACCACCAGATTCAAGAAAGAGTTGATCAACTCCATCTTCTTCTTCTTCTTCGTTACATAAAACAAAATGTGTTCCGACTAAGAAAACCCTTCTCTGTAAAGGGAATTTGGATAATCTCTGAAGCAGAGAGATGAAGAAAAGAGTGTAAAAATGGCGATTAGGTGAGAGAGAAGAAGGGGCGGGCGCACAGAACAGAACAGGTGGTGAAATGCATGAGCGAGGCGGGGGACACGCGGAGGGGTTATGACAAATGGATGCTACTATGACTCATTTGGAGTTTTATGTAAAGGATTGAAATTAGCACCATATCTTTCGCACCCTCCTTCCTTATCGCTACCAAAAAGATGTCCATAAACTAAATATTCTTTATAAAAAGATTGTCAAAGGATTGAAAACTCCTCTCTAGCGTTTTAAAAACTTTGAGGGGAAGCCCGGAAAAGAAAATCCAAAGAGGCCAATATCAAGAAAATCCAAAGAGGCCAATATCTGTTAGCGGTGGACTTGAGTTGTTACAAATGATATTAGAGCCAGATACCGGGCGATGTGCTAGTGAGAAGGCTAAATACTAAAGAGGGTAGTTATTAGACGTACCTTCGAGGAGGCTTGACTCCTTTTTTTGGAGTCCTTTGTTCGACATTCGAGGATTTGCCAATCTATTGACACGACTAAGTTTAAGGGCATGGCTCTAATACCATGTTAGACGAACACGACTCTCCACAACGGTATGATATTGTCCACTTTGAGCATAAGCTCTCATGGCTTTGCTTTGGGCTTCCTAAAAGGCCTCATACCAATGAAGAATATATTCTTAGATTATAAACCCATGACCATTCTCTAACTTAACCAATGTGGGACACTTTCATCTAACAGCTAGCAGTAAGCTACCTTGAGGGGAAGGCCGAAAGAACTAGCAAGAAAACCTAAAAAGGGCAGTGGAAGCTCAAAAGAAAAGAAAGAAAGAAAAGAAAAAAAAAAAAAAAAAAAAAAAAA